ATGTCAATATTAATTTTTCAGTATTAAAAAAAAATAAAGCTCTTAAAACGTGTATTATTTTATAAACCTAACATTATTTTTACATCGTTACTCAGTGTGGCGCTACGTCGTTCGTGTTTGAGTTTATATTTTTTCCGAACTAACCAAAGTACTCGTCTCTATTGGCTTCTTTCATAACACTTTTAATTTGATGTATGCTTGTTCGAAAACCTTCAAGATGTATCGACCGGCTTACAGAGGGAGGCGTTCATACAAATGCAAATAGATGTGGACTACTCAAGATAATTCTAGAATAATGTAAACTTTTAATAAATAGTATATATAAATTAGAACCACTCGTTTTATTGTTACAGTGGTGTTACGGTGTGTTATTAATTAAAAAATAAATTAAACAGTGACTTTTGAAAAGTATTGTTATCTTTGTAACATAAAGCAACATAGTGGAAATGCCAACACAAGCAGGCAAGAGGCAAACTGTTATTGCTTCGGCCTATTTTCCGAGTGACTCTGAAAACCATTCACCTCTGGATGAGCACTAGGAATGGTTGGAACAGGGATTTTTCAACAACTGTTACAACCTGTTTCAGTTCCAAAAATTATCTGTTTCAAAAAAACTGCTTCAGTTCCAAACTATTCCAAGTCTAACACTGTGTTATAGGTTGTTTCAGTACCGGTTCGGTTTGTTCCAGAAAGGATGTTGCATTAACAATAGGCCATTGTAATTGTGGTTGTATATTTTGAAAGTTTGAAGTTTTGTCGTGAGGCGACAATTCACAGTTTACAATCATGGTTTATGCGCATGCACATACTTTCCACTCCACTGGAACTGCAACAACCATATAAAAACACAGCAATGCAACACCGGTCTCTGAAGTAATTGTAAATACACTGGTCTGTTGTGTGATAAAAAACTGTTATATTGGAACAGGAAAACTTATTGATCAATATCTGTTCCAAATAAAAACCTGTTTCGAAAAGAGCAGATCCTGTTCCAAAGTGGCATCTCTAGTGAGCACCTCCTGGACTATATATCTGCTAATAACTTGGATATTGCAAACAGAGGTATCAAGCCAACATTTATAAACGCAATTAGAAAAGAGGTTCTTGATATAACCCTAACTAGTTCGTTTATAGCAAATAAAATATACAATTGGCATGTCTCGAATGAAGCCTCAATGTCGGACCATCAACACATAAGGTTCGACTTGGGTGCATCTGAGGTGGGCCTTGAGGAATATCGAGTCCCAAAACAGACCGATTGGGACACTTATAAAGAGTGTCACGAAAGCGAAATGGAGGAACTCAACACAAAGGAAAATCTAGACCGAGTCTCATGGCAACTTCAAAATGCCATAATAAAGGCCTATGAATCAAGTTGTCCTCTAAACACACAAGAAAACCACTAGGGATGTTCTTTGGTGGAATAAAGAGTTAACAAAACTTAGAAAAAAGGTCAGACAACTCTTCAATTGGGCAAAATCTACAGGTAATTGAGACTCCTACAGAAATGCCCTTACTGAGTACAACAAAGAACTAAGAAAATCAAAGAGAAACTCGTGGAGAAAAATGTGCAAAGGTATAACAGAATTAGCCCCTGCACAAAGACTCCAAAAGGTTCTCTCAAAAGGTCACACAAATGAAATCGGACTGATCAAAAAGCCGAATGGTGACTATACTGTATCTATACCCTATAATCACAGGGGCAATGTCAACATGTCCCACTGCAGCTTTAGAGGCGATACTGAACCTTCCTCCCTTGCAGTTCTGCATAAGGAGGGAAGCAGTAACTACCGCCTTAAAACTGCGACAGACACAAATAATGAAACCGGGAGATCTAGTTGGCCCCTTGAAAATCTTCCAGAAATTAAATTGGATTCTAAGGACATGCCGACAGATGCTATGCCAGTCAAATTCGTCAAAATGACGAGAAAATCGAAAAGCTTTCTAGAAGATTCGAGGCTTCTCAAATAAGTAAAGTAGTATGAACAATGAGAAATGTGAAGAAGTTTATAGAACACTCGACAAGATACCGAAAAATTTAAACGAAGTAGAAGAGGAGATCAAATAATTAGAGACCATGATAATCAATACAAAAGGGCTACCACCAGATAATGCAGTAGTTTTAGATCCTGTAGTGAATAAAGAATCACTGAGAGACGAAACAAACATCATATGAGATTCGAATTGTCGCCATTTGATGGGAAGTCTTCCTGTTCCATATACCTTGTAGCAATATTTTAGAATTAATGATGGAAAGTCAGCAACTGATCTGTTTGCTACATATGCTAGCGGCAGCTGTTCATCGGCGAGCAATGGTCGTAGATACTGTTGCTTTAGTTTATAAAAAAATGTTAAAATTAAAAGTGAAATTTGAATTTAAATTTAATGTGTGGAAATTGAATTATAAAATAGTCGTGCCCAGAGCGCCACTTTATTTATACAGTTAAGTAATACTTCACCAAACAAAGAAAAATGAAGACTGCGATTAAATGATTTAACTCTTACTTACCAAAAAAAACTGATATTACCAAAATTGCAAAATTGTAGACTCCAAAATCAAAACACAGATTCAACTAACAAAAGCTTGTTTTATTTTATTTTAATTAAATAGAAATTTAACAAATTATTGGAAAATAGCAAATATTTAATTTAGCCGTAAGTTAAGTACATAAAAAAATAATAGTCAATATGACATTGCAAAGTGACCTTCAGATTGAAAGTTTAAAAAAATAACATTTTATAAATGTACTTAGTAATTGGAAAATTATATTAATATTTAAACAATTAAATATATATACCTAACTATGTGAGTTAGTGGTATAGTATTAAAAAAATTATAACTCATTACTTTGATTCTTGAAAAAAATTATATTATACCTAGTACCTTTTATAGCTATAAGGGTTTACACTTTATTGAAATATTTTATTAAAAATACTTAAAGAAAAAATATTTAAGCCACTATTTGCGGTATATCATAAAACAAAATAACTTTCTGTAAGATATTATCTTTTAAAAAAATAAAAAATTGCAAAAAAAACCTGTTCTCAAGCCTACTATTCCCAAAGCAGCTTAGGTGGTAGAGGTTGATTTGGAGAAGTTTGAAGGAGTCCTGGAGGCAATTTAAAGTTGGAGCAGAGAACAATGGCTCGAACACGAACACATGGCCATGCTTTCAGGAAGCAAAAATCGAGAAGTCTTCTTGGGATTGAAGTGATGTTGGTGGTAACTAACTGATTTTTCCACAGCCCTATTATCGCCGACAAATTGGAGGCATCAGGGACTGTAACTGGTGGTTGGACCCACGTGTGGTTGCACAGGATTCAGGAGCAGAATAAGTTACCCCGAAAATGGTAATTCCTCGAAAAAGAATAGGCTTCCAGCTAGTCCCTACATAAAATTATTTTAGAAAATACTTCTAGGTGAAGACAACAAAAAAACTTACCCTCTCGAAATTTAGGGGACACAAGGCAACTAAACCCGACAAAAATGCAAAAGCCTTTTCATTTCGGCCATGGCTTAATATAAAGCCAAAAATTTTACAAAAAATAGGAACTGATGATTTGACGACTAATGTCAGAGACAAACAGAAGACCAATCTCATAGAGAAAAATTCTCTATGTTAATTAACAGTCTATGGTAAATTCGGGCCTTGGAACAACGACTTTCTTGAAAAACCGCCTAAATTATAAGCAGACAATCATAGATTCTCGAACAGTGAGACGACCTTACTCGAAGCAATAAACCGAAGACAACAGGTGTTTAAATCAAATTTCAACTACCAGAACCCAGAAACTAGAAGTTTAATCTATAAAATTAAATATATACTTCCATCCATATCTGTACACTAGTTATTTAAATGAATAAAGTATGTTCATGACTACTTAATATTTATTGTGTTTATAGTAAAAACCAGGTAAGCAATTTTTAACTGCTACAACCTTGGACAATTTTAAGCAATTATTACCAGACCTTGTTCACTCAATTAGAAAAATGTTATGGAGATGCCCCCATCTACAACAAGTCTACAAAGTACAAATAAGAACAGAATTTAACGTGCAAGAATTTGAAGCAGATGTTGCTCGTATAGCGCGGTTACCTTCTCCGGAGGCACCAGACAACATATTGTAAGAAATTGCTGTAAATACCTTTGTCAATGGGTTGAGAGACAGTGAACTACAAAAAGCTTTACGACTAGCCAGACCGAAAGTTTTAGGTAAAGCGCTCGCCATTACCTTGGACCACGAAACAGCTAGTCAACCTTCACGGAGCTATGGAGTACGAACCTCTGAAGAAGCCGACGAACAAAACAACAAACGTCTGGAGGAAATCGTACGGAAATTAGTTAGTTCGTAACATGTTGCCGAAGAGACACGAGTCCAGATGTTGTAATGGTGGCGACGTAGGTTACATTCGCCGTAAATCACAAGAAAATAATACAACAGTCATAAAGCTAGAATAAATCGAACACTGGGATAGAAAAATTCATTCAAATGCTGATGCTCTGTCAAGACTGCTATGCAGTGCAAATTGTAATCACTGTGGTAAATTAGGGGAACAACTTTGCCCCGTGAGACGAACCACCGTCATTAATGATCAATGGCAGCCTCAACAGCTACAAAACGTCGATATTCTTTGGTTCAAGCGTGTTAAGAAAATTAATGCCCTATTAATAACTTAAGATTTCAGCATGTAAATACTGTTTGAAAAGGGCAGTTCACCTTCCCAAATAAAACGGATATATAAAATTCTTGCTTTATTGTTAGTACTTAGTTCTTATCTAGATGTCTGTTTTTGTTTTAACATTTTCATCAAGCTTTAATAATTGTAATTTGGTTCTTTTTTTACACATCTGTAAAATAAGTTGCCTACAATTAAGTCTTTTCTGGAAATGTCAATTTCAATGTAAACACTAAATTTCAAATTTTTGAGGTTATAGGTGCACTTTGTAAAGTTGATTTTGGTTGAAAAGTATAGTACTTTTTAAACAAAATATTATAAAATGATCAGAGCCGTTTTAATTGACTTAAGTGGCACTTTACACATTGAAAATCAAGCAATTCCTGGCTGTGTAGATGCATTGAGGAGGTAAGGTCTTGTTAGAATATTGATGGTTTGAAATTCAAGTTGATGGTTGATAAACCGTTTTATAAGGTAACTTATAGTTTTTTACCAAAATGATTTAATAAATTTTTATTACATCCAGTCTTTTATAACATGTATTTTATTTTTAAATGCATTTTAGATTGAAAGAAAAAGATCTGTATGTAAAATTTGTAACAAATACCACAAAAGAAAGCAGGAGAGTATTATTTGAAAGGTTACAGAGTCTAGGATTTGACATAAAAAAAGAAGACATTCTAAGTTCTTTAACAGCGGCTAAGAATCTAATTCTAGATCGTAAATTAAAGCCAATGTTAATGCTTGATCCAGCAGCTCTAGAAGACTTCGAAGGACTTGCTTGCTCACCTGCTGAAATGCCCAATGCTGTTGTTGTTGGCTTAGCACCATCTGAATTCCATTATGATAAATTAAATGAAGCATTCAGGTAAATTTATACCCATGATCTTTTTACAATAACCCAAGAATAAAACTGTGTTAAGTTGTTATGACAGTGAACAGTACTTGAAAACTACTACTGAAAAAGCGATAAATGCTTGTAATCATTTTATGTAAATGTTTAGTAAACTAAAAAGAGTACTTCTTTGTCCTGTCTTCTGCTGCATACCGGAATAGTTTAGTAGAAGAATTTTTCTGACTAAACACCAAGGGTAGAATTTTCTTTCCTGTTCCTAATGTAAAAACATTTATTTTTAAATTTTGGATTATCTTTAATGTCATGGGGAAACTGAGATTGTTAAATTTTAATATTTTACCAAAGTGAGGGTAAGATGATGTTTGGTCAATGTGTTTTGTAGCAGGATGTAAAGCAGCAACAATTGACTAAAGAAAACAATAAGGATCAGAATTCCTAACATTAATTACATTTCTTGTATTCTTTATATACTTAGGTAGCTCAACATATGTTGAAATACCACTAAGTAATGGATTATACTTGTTTATATTAACTTTTAAATTTAAAATTTGAGGGAATGCCCAGTCACTGTCTCTTTCTTGAAAATTTTCAAACTTTTTTAAAATGGGATCTATACAATTAATTTTATTCCAATCCTTGTATTTGTAGGCAGTAGTAAATTCTCTGAACTGTGAATGCAATAAAGTGACAACATCGTTGCCAATTTGTGATGATAGATATTCTAGCAATTTATAATTTAATCATTGACATGCAGCAAAATTATCATATTAATGATCATTTTGTATTTGTTAAGTTATCTAATAAAATGTATTTAATAACATAAATATTTATGTATAATATTATATTTATATATAATACTTATATATAAAAAACATCTAAAGTACGATAATATTCTTTGTGAAAGTCATACATGACAACATCATATTCTAGGACCGGTAGAAAGGAATAGTAGATCAACGTTGTCATAATATAGAGGGAGATAAATTGCTCATTGATTTCCTAGCTTAGCAATCAGTAGCGTATTGTTCACACTGTTGCAGTGAATTTTAAAAATTAATCTTAATATAATATGATATGAGACATATTTAACTTTTTAAGTGAATAAAAACCATAATGTCTATGAGTAATTTTGTTATTTTCCAAATTTTCTATCCTCTAAGTATCATCTGAATCTGATTTAGTAGTAAAAATATAAAAAATTACTTTTTATGTTTTAGATATTTACAAAACGGTGCCCAACTAATAGCAATTCACGCTGGTAAATATTACAAAAGATCTGATGGTTTGGCACTGGGACCCGGATGTTTTGTAAAAGGGTTGGAGTATTCTGCACAATGTACAGCAGAAGTTGTTGGAAAACCAAACAAATCCTTTTTTCTTTCAGTTCTAGGTGATAGCTATAAACCAGAAGAAGCAGTAATGATTGGTGATGTACGTAAATATTTTTCAGTGATATTATTTTTTGTCTTCAGATCTTTGTTTGTCAATCAACCAAATCGTGTTACTTAGCTGGCTTTATAGGGATTTGACTATGTTTTTTTTTCTGGGATTTATCTAAAAATATGTGACTGTTGATAGTTAGTACCCACTTATTCATGAGCATGTCATTCTCAACAGATTGTTGGATAAGCCAAAATTGACGAAATGCCCCTGAAAATGCTCTAGAAGGCGAAAGTTCTTGAGCACGATTTAATTAATAAACTCTGCTCGATATCTGCCTTTTGATTTGATCAAAATTTATTATATAATTGGTATAGAAAAATTTCTATGTTATTGTGATCGATAATACTTATCATAACCAGTCGATTGAACTTTTACTTCTGCTGCAACAACAAGTGCAATGAAATATTGGCCTACAATAAGAAATATACTATTCCCGGACAACTGTCATATTCCGGATAGAATTTTATGAAAGGTTTATGTAATAATTGTCCCAGGTATACATACTAGTCTACTGTCTCCATTGAAGTGTTGTTTATTATTACATCTTGGAGATCCACTAGCTCATTGTACATGATTTTATTATTTGTTCAAAGTTTATTTTTCGGTCAACTTTATTGCTAGCTGCATTTAAGTAGTTTATAAATTCTTGTGGTTCTGTAGGATTATTAGCAATCAGAATGATGTCGTGTGCAAATCTTAGATAACTGAGGTGTTCTTAATCAATGTAAAAGTCTTTATTCTATCAGTTTTGATGAATATGTTTTTTAGTGTTGCTAGCATTGAATATCAACACTTTAAAGGTAAAACTCACCAAGTACTTGTTACATAGTTTGGAAAAAATAAAGTTTTAAGAAGAAGTGCAACATTTTTGGACACAGAACATTTATTTTAAATCTGATTTTATTGATTTTTGGGTTGGTATTTTATTTTAAGACGCTTTTTGATGTTGATAATTAAATTCAAAATTAGATTTTTCAGTTTCGTCCGAAAATGTAAAAGAGTACTTAATAGATTTTTCCTCTTAAAATAGAAAGACCTAGAGTTCTTAAGAGACCTCTAAAGGTGGATCAACTCCGTTGCAGTCTTGGCTTCGGTATTTCATGATTAATAACTGTTTCCACTTTAGCTGTATTTTACATGATAGCTTTAATAGAGATGTTATCAGGGATTTTTAATGCAGTGGTTTCTCGTTTTCTTCTGCATTCTGATACTGTTGATCACTTTCTTGGTTCTTTCGCCTTCGAGATCAATTTCTCAGTCTCAGGGCAACAGAGTACCTTTCCACTTACCAGCTCATCCGCCCAAAGCCATTGGCTAGTAAATGGTGGATTGCATATCCCGGCATAAAGAAATTACTTAAGGTAAAATGCAGATAACAGAGTTTCGGGAGAATCGTGCTTTAGCCCGTAGGTTTAAAAAAAGTTAATGATCGTTCCACAGATTACCAGTACGAAAATTAACAGATAAAAGAAACTAGAGGGCGTTGTGTAGAATGTTAGTCTAAAACAAATACTTTAGGTAGTCATGTAGCAGAGAGTCAAACAACTCTAACATTTTTTTTATATACTTGAAGTAAACAAATACATTTTGTAACTGTTATTTTTACGTTATTAAAAACTTAAATTATCATTTATATTTTTTTCTATGCGTGCAAGATTTCACTTTTATCTCCTACCTCATCCCTGAATGGTCGGACTTCATAAGTGTGTCTCCCCAGACGGCTACTGTGTATACAAATCCCTATCAAAAACATTACTGTTTGACTCTAAAAAGGAACACACCGTCCAAATATGCTTTTCTGTCCGTGGCCACTCTTATTGTCTCGCCAGCTTATTGTCTGTGGTATGTGTGACAAAATTGTCGGTGTCACACCGTATTCAACGTGTTAAGAAAATACATACCTACATAACTTTGGAATTGTAGAAAAAACTTTTTTGTAAACCTATAAGAAATCGAAACGTTTATTTATCTGCAAGTGCTATCTTTTATACACGCTGTATAATTATCAATGTTTTAGGATGTTTCCGATGATATTCAGGGAGCAATGGCTGCTGGATTAAGTGGCTATTTAGTCCAAACAGGAAAATATAAGACTGGTGATGAAACAAAAATAAGCCCAAATCCAACTGCGACAGTGCCAAGTTTCGTCGAGGCGGTAGAAAAAATTATAAGACAAATCTAACATACTGTATTTATTTCTATTTATTTAATAATTTATAAATATGTAGTAGTTAACAAAATATATAGTATTGTAAAAATAAAAACACTTTAATAGATTAATAATATTGTATAAAAATTAATTGTACATACATAAATAAATAGTAATATATTATCATCCAGTCTAAAAATTCTAGCATTATGAAAGAGTACAGAAAGTCTGTAGAGGTATATGCAGTTTCTTTTACTAAAAACTTTCATCTGGAGTAAGGTCATATTTACGCATTGTTTGATTAAAGGAACACTTCGATTATTTTTGGGGTATACGTCTGAAACAAAGAAATTTTTATACAATAAACGCAAAATCTTGTATATATAATGTCTGAAACACACAGTTGTTACATATCATATTTCTCTAGTTATTATATTTAGAATCTGGATCAGATTCACCTCTGGATGAAATCGTAAACCTTACACTTTTCAATATATATAAGTGCGACAGGGTTGTTTATTATCACCGATATTATTTAAAATGTATTCTGGGTCTATATTCAGATACGCTAGACGAGGTCCAAAGCGGAATCACGATCAACAGAACTAGTATAGACAATATCAGGCATGCTGATGATACCGTCCTAATAGCAAATAACGCATAAGAACTGCGAAATATAATTAATGCGGTAGTTCGTCATAGCGAAATGTTTGGTTTAAATCTAAATGTTTCCACATCTCAAATTCTAGTATTTTTAAAGACAGCAATAAACTTACATTTTTATACAAAGAGGCAAATTATAGAATAGATAACTTTACAAAATATTTGGTAGCAAATATCAACAGCAATTTGACTCGAGTACCTCGACGAGTGAACATTGTTCGCTGCTGTGTTTAGAAGCTGTGAAAATCAATCTAGGAAAATGTTGGTTTAGGAAAGCGAGAACTTCCAGACTGCTTCAAAATGATGTTTTGTCTTTTAAATCTGCCATCTTCATTCAAAGTTCACGTAATTCTTGTAAAAGATCCAAGTACCTTTCTGAATTAACGGATCCATCGAAAAAAGGGCTCAAAAATCCTCCGATAAACGCAGAAAACTCTCGAAGAGGAAAGCCTAAACATTTTTTTTCTGATAATGGAACAAATTATGCTGGAGCAATTAAAGAATTATCAAAATTATATGAACTTTTACGGATCAACAATTGGGAAATAAGCGAACGGTCGACTGTCAAGGTATTTAATGGACATTTATTCCTCCGTACTCTTCTCACATGGAAGGCAGGGGTGAAAGTGGTGAAATTTCACTTGTATCGTGTCTTAAAAAATATTAAATTAACGTTCCAAGAATTTGATATGATTGTTGTACAGATAGAAGAAATTCCCGACCATTGTTCCCTTTACCCTTTGATCCGAATGACTTTAATCCCTGACTCTGGCACACTTCTTGGTTGGCAGATTAGTACACGCCATACCACATCCACGAGTTAGTAACATACCTGATAATAGATTATCTCGATATCAATACCTTGATCTACTACATCAAAGATTATACAAAAAATGTGAATGGGACATCAGTGACTCCCAGTTCGGGTTTAGGCAAGGTTTAGGAACACGAGAAGCAATAGTAGCAACACAGGTGCTGGTCCAAAATTGTTACGATCAGAAGAAGGATGTGTTCCTATGCTTTTTGGATTACCAAAAAGCGTTTGATCGTGTCCAACACCACAAGTTAATGCAGATCTTCAAGAAAGTTGATATAGACCAAAAAGACAAAGATACATTGAAAACTTGTACTGGCATCAAACGGCACAGTTAAAAATAGACAATTCTATATCCAAATCCATACATATAAGAAGGGCGTTCGACAGGGATGTGTGCTTTCCCCTCTTTTATTTAACATTTATTCGGAAGCCATATTTCAAGAGTCTTTGGAGGATGCAAAGATGGGAATCAAAGTGAATGGAGTATTGATCAACAACATATGATATGCTGATGATGGTATCTTAATTTGTGACAACATAGTCGATCTTCAACAACTTGTCACTATAATCGGAGAATACAGTAAGCGAATTGGATTAGAGATTAATACCAAAAAAAACAAATTTATGATCATCTCCAGAAACTTGGATGCACTTGAAAACTCCACCATAACACTGAATACTAAGTCCATTGAAAGAGTGAGTAAATTTAAATACCTGGATCGTGGCTTTTTGAAGACTGGGCATCGGACAGGGAAGTAAAATGTCGCATTGAGCAAGCTCGACAAGCTTTCGTAAAATTCAAGAAGGTACTGACTTGTTCAGAGTTCGATCTTCAACTGAGACTAAGGTTTACTAAGTGCTACGTGTGGTCAGTGCTGCTATATGGCGTAGAGGGCTGGACACTCAAAACGAGGGACAGATTAGAAGGTTTCGAAATGCGGCTCTATCGCCGTATCCTAAAAATACCATGGACAGCGAAAATCACAAATATAGATGTCCTTAAAAGAATAAACCAAGAACGCCAACTTTTCGAAACCATCAAGAAAAGGAAAACGGCGTATCTAGGTCACATCATGCGAAATGAAAAATACCAGTTCCTCCAACTTATAATCGAGGGTAAAATTGAAGGCAAGAGAGGAATGGGACGCAAGAAAATGTCCTGGCTCCGAAACATAAGGCAATGGACAGGGATTAACGACATACAATCTCTGATACATATTGCAAGAAATAGAGAATTAATGGAAAATGTGATCGCTAACATCCATTAGTGGATTTGCATCTGAAGAAGAAGAAGAAGAATACGTTGAAAGGCTTCACTAGCACTTTTGCGAAAAGTGGAACAAGGGGTATATTAGCGAGTTACAGCAGCGTTCAAAATGGAAATCAACACGGATATTGCGTCACGGATATCAGCGTTGGATATTGGGAAAGGTAATTGAGATTCACACTTATAGAGACGCTCGAATTGCTACCATTAAAACGAATACAGGAAATATAAAGCGATCATTTTCAAAAATATGTCCACTGCCTGTTAACAATGATGTTGAAAGTATTCCATACGTCCCAAGGCGGCCGGATGTTCAGAACTAAGTACGGTCCTGTGCGATACTAGGACGACTTACTTACGACGACGTTTAAGGCGCAATCTTGATGACAAGGGTGAGCGCGCATTAAATTTCATGAGAAGACAATCTGCCTCGAAGGAAGCGGTAGTTTTGTAATACACATATTTTTTCTATTATAAATTCAATGTTCAAGTTAATAAAGTGCATCTAAGAAATTTAAAATAATAACTAATACAGTTATTTGGGAACTGTGATAACGGACCAACTAGATCCAGACATAGAAATAAAACGTAGAATAGCAATGACTAAAACTACTTTTATGAAAATAAAGACATTTCTTTATAATAAGCATCTCAGTTTAGAACTAAGGCAAAGAATGGTTAAGTGTTATGTTTGGTCTGTACTTTTGTATAGTAATAATAATAATAGAAACAGAATCCATTTATAGGACAAAATACAATACTAAAGTTAAATGAAATATTAATAATTCATAGGTACTAACTAAATAACACATTTTTCGAGTATTTTACCTTAACATAAAGAAACTACTTAATCACCTAGGTAGATCTCAGCCATCCTAGTAAGCTGCTTTAAACTGCAGTGAAATATATCGCAGTAAGCACTTAAGGAATTATAATAGTTGCACATGAGAAATAGAGGAGAATTTAACATAAGATTAGTTCTAGCTTGTGTATTTCTGAACGTAATCGAATTTCTCACTGGATAAGATGGAACGTTAAAATTTATTTGTCGAAGAATATCAGGGCAGTCAATGAGATTATGTAGTAGCTTGTACAGGAATATTAGGGAGGCATTAATTCGTCTAGATTCTAATGATACTACGTCCAAACCGCTACACAACTCGCTATTGCTGATGCCCCTCCTGGGATATATGCCGTTAATTTTGAAAGACAAAAATTTTAAAAATTTACGCTGCACGTGCTCTATAATTTGGATGTGTACATCATAAAAAGGTGACCAAATGACAGAAGCATATTCCAGTTTACAGCGTACAAAAGTGTAATAAAGTAATTTAATTGCCTTAGTATTAGTGAGATTTCGACTATTTCTAATTATGAATCCATAAGATTTAAGTGCTTCTTTAACCTTTAAATTAACATGCTCAACAAAGGTGAGTTTATAATCAAATGTAACTCCAAGGTCTTTAATTTTATTCAAACGTTCAAGTTCATTGCCATCGATAATATAAGGATGGTATATATTAGACTGTTTCCTAGAATAACTAACTACTTTGCACTTATTGGCATTAAGATTCAAATGATTTGCATTACACCATTCATGTACACGATTCAGTTCACTCTGCAGAAAATGACAATCATTAAGGTCGCTTATCAATGAATAAATCTTTAAATCATCGGCATAACATAAACATGGTGCAGAAATTGATTCACACAGATCGTTAATAAATAACAGGAACAATAATGGACCTAGATTAGAACCTTGTGGAACCCCTGAAGAAGCTAGGTACTTTTCCGATTTGTAACCATTATAAGCAACAAACTGCGTTCTATTTGACAAGTAAGACCTCATAAAAGTCACGGCATCCTCAGAAAGACCAAAGAGACACAATTTAGAAAGTAATACGCCGTGGTGAATTCTGTCGAATGCCTTCGTAAAGTCAGTATATATGACGTCAACTTGACTTCTATTATCTAGGGCTGCTGAGATATATTGTGTGACCATTAATAAGTTTGTCACAGTGGACCGATTGGAGACAAAACCATGTTGATATTGAGACAGCTGATTACGAGTGCGTGAATAAATACGATTATACAAAACTATTTCAAAGACTTTCGATAGATTGCAAATAATGGAAATTGGTCTGTAGTTTTCTACCTGACCCTTTTCACCAGTTTTGAATATTGGACACACTTTTGACTCCTTCCAGAGACTCGGATATTCCTTGTTAAGAAGACATAAATTAAAAATTTTTAATAGTGGCACAGTTAAGGCACCTATACAATCCT